CACAGGGCAAGTTTCCGTGGAGCCCAACAGGCTGGCACGCATTAGGAGGCAGGCAGCCTGCTTCATTTGGGGAACAATGTCGCTTTGAGTTTCTGGACTAAAACATTGCTTTTATGGGAGAAAAAAAAAAATATATATATATATATTGACACCTTTTCTGTCCTAACCCTGAAGTTTAGAGAACTGCACCCTGCAGGTGTCTTTCCCCCTGGTTTATCTCATTGAATCTCACCTCTTGCAGTTTCAGCCTTCCAGACTCATTTTTTTCCATGCACACTGTTTGGAGCTTTCACTCTTTCAAGATTTTTTTTTTTTTAATATACTGGTTTCTCATTGTCTTCTGCAGCTGAATCTTCTTGCAAACCCAGTTCCTATGAAGTAGTTCCTGCAGAGCTCTTGAAAATGAGAATATTGAAAAACCTGAGGTTACTGGGATGAAGGGTCAAACAGCTAACTAACATTTCTTCATCCCAAAATACTTTTCCCTAAGTGGAAGGAATTTCAGACAAACAAATCTAATTTCTAAGAAAGTTCGTGTAGTGCCATCCATGCTTACTTCAATTATAATAGATACATATTACATACTCTATTCTAATAAATACAATTTATATAATTAGCTTTTTGTCTACTGAGATTGGGGTATTCTACTTTCATCAGTGAATTCTGACACATAGCCCACATAAGGACTAGAAATACAGTTCCTAAATGCCGATTTCTTCCATTTAGGTTATAAGGCAGGTTGCAAAGTAAGGAGAAAAAAAAAAAAAAGTGTCTTAAGATATCAGCTCTATTATGGACAATTGGGTTTTTTAATACTGAAGATTCTCAGCTCATTTATATCATTAGTAGCAAATACTTGAAGCAATTCAATAGACAAATGTTTCCAGAAGTTTTCACACTTACTCAAGCTGTGAACTAAACAACATTTTTTCCTGCTGTTTCTGAACAATCATTTCAACTCCAGCAACCTGAAAATGACTATAAAGAATGAACTGAATTTTTATTACTATCTGGTGTCCAGCAGTTGTTTTATAAGTCAAGAGCTGTTGGACAATTAAAAACTAATGCATCACAGATAGTTTTAGCTGTTTCTGGTAACATGAGACAACTATTGACATGAGGATTTCAGCTCTTTCTGATACAGAGTTACCTCGTCTTTTAAACTGCCTTTATTTTTATTAAGTAACTGCATAAATAAGTTACTTAGAACTATGATCAATAACTAATTATCTTTGGATTTTTTCTTTCTTATCATACCCAGTTACAGTGACACCATCTACAAAAAGAACTTACTTGGATGTCGTGCATGAGGAACCACAAACACAACTGACTCCTCTGTTTTTCCAGGTAAACGAGAACTGTTTCACGGGTTACAGACATGTCTTCTGATACCACTGCCATTAGCACCATTTAATTTCAGTTTCCAGGCATAAAGAACATTTTAATTAAAGGCAGACACTCAATATTTTTTCCTCCCTTCTCAGCATTTTTTTAACCTTAGTTTCAATTTGTTAATGTCTAAGATGTCAATACTCTAAAATTACAAGATGATAAAGTTTCAGTTTGGTGCCCAATGAGATGCTGTGGGCTGTAATCCTGAAATAAAAATGCCAAATGTAATCAAGTCATAATATGTCTGATGCATTGAGTTACAGATTACAACTCTCAAAACCAATCATTCCACTCCTTTGATTATTAAAGTAACATTCTGTTTAGCATCATTCATATTAAGAATTACTTTTCCAAAATAAAGACTCCACAGCATCAAGCCAAAAATATTGTAGAAGTCCCAATATAGCTATATTAAAACCACAGCCTTTAGATATATGATCTTGAAAAACAAAAAACTCCAGTCCAGTCAGTAAAAATATTCCCTGTAGACCTGTGTGAATGGATCTTGTATCATGGTCCTTTTAAAAAAAACCAAAAAACAAACCTTCCCATAAACCTATGCCAATGGGCCTTACATCATCCTCCTTTCACTATCAGGCAACGGAGCACCATGTCAGCTTATTTTGCTTAAGATTGGTAATTATAAGCTGTTATTTTTAAATTCCTTATATTGTTCCAATAAAAATTTCAGTCTGAGAATGGGAATCCCAAAACAAACTCTCACTGGCATAACAATACTAATTACTATAAACACAAATAAAAGGTCCTCAAATAATAAGATACTGAACACTTCTAAGTGCCCTTTAAAATAAATGTTCTAAAAAATTATTTTCAGTCTTTTACATGCTGTTGCTGCTGAGCTACACATAAACATTTTGAAATCAAGTGATCTGGTAGGTTTAAAGATGACAAAATATTTCAGTCTTGAATTTGGCAGTCCAGATGGAGGAGTTCAGAAGTATAACGAGAATATTTCTATTGAGACATGATTTAAAAATAAGATAATAACAGTATAATCAGAATTTTATCTTCTTTTTAACAAGGACAGTACTAACAACTGAGTTAGTCAGCCATAGCAACTAAGCGGGGCTACCTGCAAGAATGAAACAAAGTCCAAAGTTTACACATCAACATGAACCTTTCCAATTGAAACACTCCTAAAAACATTAAACTATTTTTACAGGGCTTCGTCTCATCCTGCTGTTAAGTTTCCATCATTATTTTTATCAAAGCACTGTTCTGAGATTTACAAATAAGATGCTAAAGAAAGCTGTTACAGTAATGAAGGACACCGAGTTTGTAATCTTAAGAGTAGTGGAAGTACATAGCTGACTGCACTTGAATGACATTACAAATGGCTTTCTGAAAAATTAAGTCAACAGGCTTTAGCTGTATAATATGTTTATTTTACTATATTGACATTTTATGCACAAATATTTTATCAGAGTTAAAATAGAAAATAATTGCTTCATGTAAAATTACCAAAAAAATGCAAAGCACAAAAGAAATACATAATTATTAGCAGAGTATAAGTGTATTTATTTAAAGAGTAAAAAGTATGCAAAAAACCTTCTGTTTTACAAAAAATTGGGAGTATTCTTTCTATGTTCTCCTTCTGGCAGCAATAGAACAACCTTTGTCAATATATTCTACATCTTTTATTTTATTGAAGACATCAAGTTAGTCACGCATTTCTCCCTCAACTACAGAGAATGTGACAGTGATTTTATACTCTTTGAAATATTCCTTCTTTACTAATTAGAAGACAGTGGAAAAGCAGATGACCCCACAACAAAGAACCCAAAGGACTATCATACCTACTTCAAAGCTGCAAAATAATAATCGGATTATTTACAAAGAAAGTGTGATACCAGAAGTTTCCCCTAGAGGGCTTATCATATCACATAACAAGAACATTCAGGGGGATAAAGTACTGATACTACATCTCAACCTTGCTGTTAGTTTATCCTCCCACAGTCCAGTTTGATCTAGAAAGCTGGTATTTTAGGCTTCTCTTCTTTTATATTGTATTTTAACTAAAAAGGCCTCTCATGAACTCTGCTAAATAGAACTAGTGACTTGTACTGGACACTGTTAAGCAATGGAGCGGTGTTATGTACATAGTTGCTGCCACTGAACTATCAGCTCCGATCTTATCCTTACTAAGCAAACCTGCATCTATTTACATAAGTCACCTCAACCACTTGCCAACTGGTGGAATCAGACTACTGTAACAGTAATAAATGGATTGATGGTTGACCTCTTGTGACAGATGTATTTACACCTTTTGCTCAGGGCTTAAGATTTTTTAAAAAATCAAAATAAAACCAGCATGCTCAGTAGCTGGAATGCTTTAAGAGCTCAAGAATGCAAGAATCAAAACAATATTAAGAGTTACTGAAAGAATCTGGCCAAAAAAAATTCATAATCATGGTGATGATGAAAAAAGTAGGCTTGAACTATATGAAAGATTTCTACTTAAGCAAAAACTAAGATGAACATCCATCCATAAATAAAAAGCTTTGTCCTCAATGCTTCTTTAAAATAAACATGAGTCTTCTGTGTTCTTTGCCCTCTGTCTGCAAGTGTGACCATTCTTTTGAGGTCAAGAGCAACAGCCCAGTGCTCTCGCTACTTAGTATAAACACATTTTATGTTTAGAACCTCACTATACAAGCACTTTTGATTTAAGGTTTAAGAGCAGCTTGATCCCTCATAGAATTAAAGGTTTTCCCTTATACATTTGCATTTCAATCATTAAGTGTTAACAGAGGGGGTTTCACTTATAAAAAGCTGGAAAATATGCATGGTGACGCAATATTTATGCTGGTTAATAACAGGAAGAGGCAAAGGCAAACCCAAAATCGCACCATTTTCAGCCATGAGAAGAAACAATCTAATAGGCATCAGTACAGGAGCTCAAAAGTTGCAGCCTACTTTTTACTCCATGCATAAGTTTGCATGAAGTACCCTCTGTAGCTCAGAATTCAGGATACATTTCAACTATTTCTATTCATCATCCAGACTTTAAATTGCACCCAGCTCTGGAGCATGCATTTGGCTTATGAAGCTTCAAAAACATCACTTGAAGTTCAGAAAGAAATCAATTTTAAATAAAAAAATACATATTTGTATTTTAATATATGTCAGACTGTACAATAATTTGGAAATCAAACTTCAGTTCTCTGTAAAACTATTTTCAACTTGCATTTTGTTTCTAAAGGGGGACTACTGACTGTGATCAACTTAAGTCTTCAGTTACTAAGGTTGACTACCGTGCAGGTATAAGCACCTTGCAGAATAGAGCATTAAAAACCCCACCAAAACAAACTACTCTTTGGGTGAGGGCTATTTTCAAGTTTTCAAATCACCTGATGGGGGGCAGCAGTGGCGGCAAGAAGTTTGTCTTTGCTTTTTGCTAAATGGCTAGCGTTAACATGTCTTTCAAAACAGGCCAGTATTTGCCCTCATATATGCATATTATCTACATATTACAATGAAATACTCATAACTGGCTTTTCACCTAAGCCAGAGGTAAACCTGGATCTCCTTCTTCAGCACTGATCTTCAGCTCAGTCTAGTCCTAGTTTCCTTTGCTTATAAACACCGACTCAAAGCGGCAGAAGTCATGGTGATCCCTTAACTTATACTGAAACATACACTGTTAAAAGATCCAAATTTATGTGAGTCCCAGTTCTTTATAGAAAATCATGCCCTATATCGTATTATCAAGGAACAAAAGAAGTTTCTTCTGATAAAGTTTAAGGAGCAGCAAGTGCTCTGGTTGCACAGGAAAGGCCTCAGGCTCCCACTTTGAGGTCCTAGTGCTTAATTATCTTTCTCTGTTTGCAGGGACGCTGTAGCTAGTGCCACTGCTGTAACTGGCTGTGCGATGCCATGGAGCTGCATCTTGGCTAGTTTCTTCTGCTCACATTCTGTGACCAACCGATTCAACTCTGCTGCGCTGTATCCAATGAGAGTCTTCAAGTCGCAGACAAATTTGTACACAAACCTCTTGCCTTGCACTTTGCAGATCATGTCTCCATCATAGTAATATCTGTAAAAAGAAAAAAACAAAAATCAATGTAAATTTTCAGCATCTGTAACTTCCATACACCTCTGTTATTTACTTAAGGTCACTCCGAGGCCAAGATATCAATCTTTTTCTCATCGTGATTCTCATATAATTTAATACACCAAGATACTGTTTAGGCATTTTCTTATATGAGAAAAAGGAAGAGGTTTGAAAATTGTCCCTGCACCTTGATATGTTAAGGAGAACAAAACACAGTAATTATTTTACAGGCAGTCAGAAGCACCAGTTCAGAAATTAAGGTCTTGGAGCAGTTTAAAAACACCTTGGGGGGGCAGTAGTTTTGTATAGTGCTTTGCCTTCATAAAAAAATGTTGTCTCCCCCCCTCATTATTGTCCTTTGTTTTCTTTACTTGTCTCTGCTTTTCTAAGGAAAAAATTAATGTTGGAAAACGTTTGAAAACCAGCATTGTAGTTTCTATGATACTAAAGCAGCCATTCTCTCCCTATTATTTTCAAAGATGGAAGCAAAACTATAAAAGCATGTTTAAGGGTTTTTAATATAGATCATACGCTAGCAAAACTACATCTTTTGCCTTTATTTCCAACTAGAAAGTGAAATGCTTTTTACATTGTGTCACAAAAGAATTACCAGACTGGGCAGAAACGCAGAAAAGATAACATAGTCTATATGACCGACTGTACTCCAGAGATGTAAAAGTTTAGGTGATACCAATAGAAGAGAAGTTAGAATTTTACAGTTCTGGTGTTGATCTTGTCTCACTGCAGGCATTAATAGAACACGTCACATTTCTCATTAAGTAAACCCAAGTGGCTGGGACATAGCTTGGACTTTATCACAAGCTTGTGATAAATTTGGAAAAAATCAAACCAATTTAAATTTCCTCAGAACCATCACCCAAATATAGTACAAATGAGCGCAGATTTCTTGACTGTCTAAAACTCAATCCTCTGAGTGACGTGCTTGTAAAGCAAAGATGGCTCTCATTCAGCATCAAAATTAAGTCAATTAAAAGACTAACTTCTGCCTCCCATCTCTAGCAGAAAAGAGGTAACTTACTAAGAATCCAACCAAATTTCTTTGGACACCTAAGATTCTAAACAAAAGCCTTTTAATTTCTTACTTTTGAGGGTCAGGATCTAACCAACAGGACCAAAGCAAAGATAGGATGAGAGAGAGTCTATGTAGAAAAAATGTTGGCAAGCCTGCTGGTTACTGGTATCATGCACGAAGCCACAGAGTTCTGTTATGGAGTAGAACTGCCAGAATAGCTTGTGGTTGCTCTGTGGATAAAGTTTGGTCCATTTACCAAAACTCTCCTTCACCTTTCTCCTGAATGACACACAGTTATATAAAAGCTTCCTCTTCAGTCTTTCTCTTCACTCCACCCCCTGAGGCTAACACCAGTGTCTCCCTCAACTGCTCTCTGTTTTCTTCTCCACATCATTATGCTTGTTCTTAAGAGCTACTCCACGGCCACTCAGCACTTCTCCATGCCAGCCCTACTACGCTCCAGAGAATCTTCTTGGCACCAGCTGAAGGATCTGTTGCTGTATGGTGTCCATCACATTCAACATCCTAGTGAGGCAATGAGGTTTAGTTATAACAGGTAGATGAGCCCTGCAACCTAGAGGGTGGGATGATAGTTTATGTTCACCTTTGAAGTACAGTCTAGCAGTACTGGGCAGAATTGGAGAAGGATGAGTAATATCCTGCTTGCATCCACTACAGCTCAGGGAAACACAGTATAGTTTAGAGTGTGGAAAGACTGGGCAGGCATTCATGTTGAATGTGACACGGTACTGGACACAGAAATTGGGACCTGGGACCTATGCTCATCTCAGTCAATATGAAGCATTTGCAGAAAGACAGAGCTTATAAAATGTGGCCATATGTCAAAATGACACTGGCCAATTTTTTAAAGTTATTTAACTCTGTATGAGCATTTACATTTGTTGTACAATCCTGTACAATAATGCCTGTCTCAAAATAATGCTGTAGGAAAACGCTTTACAAAACAGAATAAATTAAGTGCTTTAGTCTGCATTACTGATATGATCAGAAAAGAAAAGGATCATGAGAAATTATTCTGCATCTATGCAAAGGCCCAAAACCATGCAAGGTTCCCACATCTCATGCTAGAACTACTCAAGTTAGAGTTGAGGCAATGTGGCAAGAGGATTTTTTTCAGTATTATGTTGAATGCATTTCTGATTACAGCATTTGCTTATTTCAAAATACAGAAAGTTAAAATAAAAATACATACTGATGTAAGGTTACAAAACCTTAATTACTGGAATGTTCTGAGTCACATGAAAACTTTGTTTCAGAATAATACAGGAGATGTATTTTTCTTCAAGCCTCACTTCTCTACTGGATGACTAAACAGATACTGATTTTAGAAAATTTACCAAGGTGTACATAACAAAAAAAGCTGCTCTTTTTTCACCCTGCCCTAGTTTCTGTACTGCCTACAGATGGGCAGAAGAGCCAGCACATTTCTCAGTAATATCAACATAATTTTCTGTATTAATCAACAACTGAGTAATTTCAGTACATTAGTAAACAAAACATATTACCATTTAATAAAACTTTAGCTTGGCGACAGTGTTTATCATGGGAGTAGCAAGAGGCATCAAACATCCCTTCAGATATTCAAGCCTTAGAAAACATGTCAATATTGAGGCAGCTGCCAAAATGGCAACATTTTGAAGACTGTGATTTCTGTAATTCTGTGACTAAAATATAAATGCAAAATGTCTCTAACAGTGATTTATGCAAATTACTGTTCAAACATCTGTTTAATATCCCAGTGATAAGAACATTATTCTAAACTTCTTCAGCTGCTTTTGAGATCTTCTGTGGAGTTTGACGATAAAACTCAAAAAACATTAGCATCATTTACATCATTTTTATGTTCCAGAAAGTTTTCACATATACCTTCAGTACACAAATGCACAGATTCATAAAAGCAGGTTAGAAATATGAGAATGGTATTGCAACAACACAGGCTAGGGAGCAGCTCTACTGGAAAAGCCCTGCTTTGGGCAGGAGTTTGGACCAGAGACCTCCAGAGGTCCTTCCCACCTGAGGGATTCTGTGATCCTACAAAAACCATTTTAATTTAATATAAAAATAATGCAAGAACATCCATACAAGACCACACTAAAGATCTATCTAGAATAGGATATAGACTCCAACAGACCAAAAGAGGATGCCTAAGAAAAAACATGAGAGTAAGCACATATGGATGCTCTTCCTTGCTTTCACTGATCTGGGGCTCAGGAACTTTGACAAGTTGCATCTTTCCATACCTAATATCCTTCAAAACCTTTATTTTTCATTAATTTGTCCACTTTCCTCTCAAACTCATAAAATAATTCTGGCATTGATACTGTGCCTAAAGAAGTTACAAGACAAACAAAAGGGTATAGTTAAGGTGTGTATCTGCTGCCTGCCAGTTTCTTCTGATGCCTCCTGTTCACGTAAATGAGATATGGAGCAGTCATTCTTCACTGACTCTGTGCCATTCATGGTCTTCTAGACTTTGATCTCCCACAGTGAAAGTACTCATTCAGCACTACACACATTGATGTTACTTAAATCCTCCCTATAAGACTAAAGAAAATCTGAATATGGCAACTTTACCATAATTTCTCATGGAGGTATTTTTAAATAGAAGTTGATTTTCTTTTTTTTTTTTTTCTTCAAACAATGCTAGAGAAGTTTATTGCCTTTAAAAAAAAAATGTAGCCAAAAGTGTAAATGCTGAAAAGTAAATCTTAGATTTCAGACTTCAACCAATATACAACTTCACTCATATAAAAAGAGTTCCTAAAACTGCTTAAATAATTTGCAGGATTAGGCAATAAATACCTTTCTTGAAAACTAATCAAAAGAAATAGATTTAACCATATCACAATAAGAAATTAGAAGCTCAATCTTAACTATTTCAGTGAACGTAGATGAATCTTCAAATTATTCCAGAGGCCAAAATAATCAGTGGAAAAAAAGTCTAAAATTCAGGTACTTGCATTCTTCCCCCTCCTCAAGCACATTACCTACAGTGATTCAATAACACAAGTCCCTTTTACCAGTGTCAAACTACAAAATCATGATGGAATGAAGACAGCCTGAAATGCTTAAATTTCTTTAGATTATAAAAGTTCACTATGTTGGAATCACAACTGTTGAAATTTACCTGTCAACTGTATTTTTCAATGTAACATCCCTACCATAAGAACAATGGAATGGAAGAAATGAATATTTGAACTTAGAAAAAGTTTTATTACATGCAGAAAAGATTGTTACATACAGAAAACTACTAATGATTATGTAATTACAGGAAAAGTATCTGCTTTATACCATACCAAGAGCAAGAGGAACACGAACAAGTAAACTGGAAAATAAAAAAATAAGGCAGTAATTCAGAGTATTAACATATTTCTGTATCTTTCACCCATAATCAATAGTGTCATACACTTCTGAAAGCATAAATGCTTAAGACACATCAAACAAAATATATTTCTGAAAATGAACTACCTATATCATGTCAGTGTTCAGTAATCCTGAAAAAAGATAATATATTTTAAAGACGTTATTGTACTAGCTTCTTTAAAAATAATAATAATAAAAAAAAAAAAACCCAGAAGAAAAAACCCCAACAGATACCTTGCCCTGAGACTAGTACAATCTGACGGGAAGGAGGAGCTTCAGAGGATCTGTTTATCCCTTTACTAAAAAAGCCGCAACTCTTACATTATGATAGTTAAAGTAGTGAAGTGGAAGCAGATCGCTTCATACCTGATCAGTTCCTCAAGTTTCTTACCTCAAAGCTCGACTAAGCTTCTCATAGTTCATCGTGGGTTTATTTTTACGTTGTCCCCATTTTTGTGCTACCAGTTCAGGTTGATTCAATTTAAACTCTCCTTCATCACCAACCCAAGAAATACAGTCCCGAGCATCTTTGTCAGTGAGAAGTTCTAATAAAAACTGCCACAACTGGATCTGGCCATTGTTCCCTGTTGAAACAGGATTAACAAGATCCATTTCAATTAGTCCTTTTATGCTCCCCTCATAGCTAAAATTTTCAACCAACATATTAAAGCAGACAAACATAGAATACATGATGGAAGGAAAACTCACACTTAATTTCTTCTAATTATTCTTTTGTAAACAATTTCCTGCAAAGTCATCAGTATTAATCTATTAAAAAAGAAACTGATGAATACAGAAAAAAATAATCAAGATTTCTCATAAATGTGTCCCTAGAACTTAAGAAAAAAAATTATATATCACTACACATAGTCATTTAGACACATATCTATCCCTAAAATAGAACAGAATTAGCAAGAACTGCTTATTCCTCTTCAGGCATACACACAGGCACACATATATAATAGAAGTTGGTTTTTTAAAAAAATATTTCAGTCTCCAACTTTCAACATTAAATATTTGAAACACAAAAAAACCTCCGAATCTCCATCTTATGTCAATATAACATCCTTCATGTCCAATCATTTAGATTTCTTTTTAACTCGGGTATCTGCAGCTAAATTACTAAATTCCCAATGAGATAGAGATAGCAGACCTAATGTCTAAAGGGAGAAGCACAGAGCATTCCCCACTGATGTCAGCTGATAAGATCTTGGCCTAAGAATCCTGAATGACATCATAATAGACTTTTACTGAGAATTTAAAACAAATAAAAATTCAAGGGGAAGGAGAGGAAAGGATTTAACAGAAAAAAATCACAACAGTGGAGAGAACCAAAGCAAAAATGATAGCAAGAAAAAATAAGATAAAGAAATGGAGTTATTATCAGAGAGCGTGTATGAATAACAAATTCCAAAAATAAACTGCAGATTTAGTGTGAAGTTTTCCAGAAGGTGCATTAATTTAATAAAACAAAAATTCCAAAACTTGCTAAATTCTAAAGTTGACAAATTGCGGGGGAGGGGAGGAGGGGAAGAAGTACAGCAAGTACAGCAAGTAGTAGGTAGGCTAGAATTCTACAACACACGGTTTATTTTCACCCCTTTCTGCACATGGAAAATGGAAATAAGTTAAAAGCTTGAACAAATGTTATGCAGTGGTTTTGAGAGGACAGACTGTTAAGTGGTAGGAAAATAAATAATTTTACGCATTTTATTTACTGCAGAACTCAAAAGCTGCAGCACTACATTAACATAGTGCCTGTGTGAGCTTAACCAGCCTTCCAAGTCTGCATGTGCTTGTGATATATTTTGTAGCTACGATTCCCTTCATACCACACGGACTTCTACAAACCTCACATTTAGACTAACAATGATGTGTTCTACAAAACTGTAAATTAAATTAATGAGTGTTTACTGCATTTGCATTTAAAAGTAATGGAGACAATACCTGTTCTGTTCCCAGGGGAACTTCTGTCTTCCCCAGAGATCCTTGGAGCTCTCTGTACTTTAGCTGCCTTTGCACTGCTGTTTATTACTTTAATGGTGGTTGGGGTAGCAGGCTGTACAGATGCTGGAATAATTTGCACAGCTGTAAAGCAGAGAATATTGCAAAACATCAATTATAAATTGCTGGCACAGAAATTGTCATATATTATTTATTACCTGTATTATCATAACATCTAGGAGCTAGTTTTTTCCTTTGCTAAAAAGACTCACTGTATAGGTCACAATGCAAGGAAAAATTTAAAGACTTTTTACCTCTTTTAGTGGAAACTGGGGTTTTAGACTCGCAGCAGAGATGTTTCATTACAGATAAAACATCAGCTTCAGTTTACTATCATGTGTATTATATGTTTCCATTAAAAAAAACCCAACGCCTCTCATGCCTTTGTTTTCATCTTCATGCTGTTCCCATATGATCTACCCTAACACATTTTTCTCTATACTCACTGTACAACCCTCCCTGCTATTCAAACAGCAATTAAATACCCTTCTATTGCAATGGTATAAGAGGATACAAATGCCCAAATCCAGGTGGCTTTAACTAGACACAAACCCAGGATGTAATACATGGTCTATCTATTTAACATATAGGCTGCTTACAAGTCTTCTGAAAATTGATTCATTTTAATAATTGATGACAATGCTTCAGTTGGAAGAATGAGTTTCAACTGGAAAGGTGCCTTAATGTATTTTTTCGAGTATTGGTTTCTAAGGAAGTCCTCTCTTCTACACTCACTTTCAGTTTTTGGAAACATTTATTTTTTTAAATCATAAAATTTTAATATATCTATTCATTAATGCAATATATAACCTAAAAAACCAGAACAACTCAAGACCTCAAATATGTATCCTAGACAGCTTATTTCAAGAGGGTGGAAAACGCACCATCCAAAATGAAAGTTAGAAACTTTAATGCTTCAGGTCACACACTACCTTTCAAATAACAAAATATCGAGAAACCTCAAATTTTGCTTTGAAGTTAAAAATACGTCCTCCTCACCACGGAAAACTACTGTCTCAAGTGATTTTCTGAATGGTGTACTATTATAGTGCTGAACCAAAGTACAGTACCAAACTTGCAAACTGTTAATTGTGTGAATTAACTGCTGCCAGAAGTACTTACGCTGATCAATAGTAACAGTTGCTATTTCTCCAGAGTGTTCCTGGCTAGCCAACACATCTGCAAATTAGAAAAAAAAAAACCTAGTTAAGTTTTTATTTAACCCACAAATTTCAAGTCACCTGGAGATCAAAAACTTTCATATTTCATACAGGTAAAAAGTCAAAATTTGGTATCAGTTTGCAAGAGAAATGCATAGCTCACGTTCTTATGAGCAGAGACACTTAATGTCTGTCACTCAATTTTCAGAAATAAGGACATACATAGTGAATTTCAAGGTATCTCATGCATTCTCGATCCCCTAAAACCTTCAGCTATATCATGTAAATGAAAGAAATAGTTTTTAGTTTGCCAAGTTACATCCATGCATGGCAAACCTAAAACGCATATATACATTATTGTATCATATGCATACAGTGCATCACTCATCAGTTGTGTTGTGTACAACCTAAGAATTTCATTGCTGATGCTTAATAATCTTCACTTCTATATGACAGAGATGTACATTAAATAACTCACAATCAATATTTAATTATAAAACTGTCACATTCAGGAGATGCACAAACAGAAAATCTTTATTAAAACAAAGGAGGAATCATCAGTCACTATTTCCTATTAGTTATGAAGTTTGATGAAAGACAAGCGAACAGCCTTTAGTATGCAGACATGTTTCATAACAGCAGACATTCTCACTAATATTCTCCTGTTATCTTGTATTGATGCCCTTGTTTTTACTGCCAATATTAAATAGAGGAAAAACAACAGCTCACAATCAGTTTCATCTTTAAAGAAAGAAAGAAAGAAGGAAAGAAAACAAAGAGAGAAAGGAGGAGAGGGAATATGTAAAATCAGTTCCAGAAAAATCTCTCATACACTTTCGAAGAAGCTCCAAATGGCTCCAGAGGATTTCTCCCCGTGGGACGCGCTGGAAGAAGTCTTCTTGACTGAGGCTGCAGAGCTCCCGCCCAGGAATGCTCAGCGCATTGAGGTCAATGTCAGTCATGCTGAACTCCTTCATCACCCACACCACCCAGTGGAGCACTTGGTCTATTGACCACTGTACTGGGTCTGGGAAGAGAGAGATAAAACTGCAAATCATCCCATTATGTACTCCTCACCGAGGAGTCAAAGCTAGTCCTTACTGTAACTGACAACAAGAATGAAATACAAGTGGCTACTGATCCACAGCATTCAAACAGGCGTAACCCAGAGTTAATTTTTTTGTATGACTTTTTCTGAAGGCCTTTAAAAAAAAACTTTATTTAGGTGGTTCTTGTTCCCTATTTATTGATTTATTTTTTAAAAAGGGCCTGCTTCTAGCCAGTCAGTACTGCTATTCAGTTAAAGTCCAGTGGTGGTACACATCAAGAAGTGTAGTTACCGTGATGAAATCTGACTGGATGGAAAGTTGACTCCTCTTAAAATGCTGATGGAGTGGTGTTACTTATTGGGAAGATGGAAAGGGCAAAAAAGGTTCCATGGGGGAAAAAAAAAAGGAGGTTTTTTTGAGAGACTACGTAAGAACCTTAAGAACACTCTTTATTCTCAGAAACTTCTGACTGTATCATAACACAGAAATTAGTGGCGTCTTTCAACCCAAGTTCTTGCAACGTCAACTCAGGTAACATCTAAAATTCTATTCTTTCTAGGAAGGCAGTTTAGCACATTCTTCTCACATTGAGAGGACACTATTATTCTTAATAGAGAGATCTCTTCCATAATGAACTAGTATGGTTTTCCTGAAAACCTGCACTCCCGTGACACAAAAGACATTAAACTTTTAAAGCCACCGTTGTGGGTTATAGGGTTTTCTTAAAGCAGCAACATTATTTAAGTTTATTAGCATTATTCAACACAACAACAATATGGTTTTAAGTAATTTTCTTCTTATATTAATAGGAGAGCATGCTGAAAAATATCAGTCTGCTCCTGGTAATGCCTCACTTTTTTTTCTTTACAAACATTCTGCATCAAATCCCTGATTATCAACAGACATAGCATGATGAAAGCTATTTTGGAAGTGCTTGCCAATGAGAACAACAAAAAGGCAAGAAAAAAGCCATTGCTTTAGTTATCAAAGATATGTTCAAAACATTGGTTAGCTGCATGTCCTGCAAGGACCTGTGACTTCACTGGAATTCTTAAATACTTCCAAGTATCCCACTTGCCAAATATATTCCAGTTTTTCAGGCATGCTTAGATACTACAGCTTCTGTAGATGCTGTACATTTTTGCGAGTCACAACAAGTAACTCAGCTGGATAATCTCCTGAATGTGACGTAGGTCTAAAACCACAGTTTCAGTTAAATCCTAAGCAAGCATTCAGAGATGCTTTTTCTAAGATAACATTAAATTTACAGCCTGCTAAGTAACTACATTAATTCAAAAAAGATTATGATCTACCAGTATACTTATATTCAGATCTGAATTATCTTTTTCCAGTATGTTGAAGTCAAGTATGGCTTTCCCTGCAAAATCTGATTTAACACCGTACTCAGCATCCTATAACCTACGAACAATTTGTTTCAGTATCTTTAGACGCAACCCCCATCAAGTACTGAGTTCAATCTAGTTCAAATTCAGACACACATGAAAAAGAGCTGTATTACTAACATAAACATTTTTAAGGAGGGGAAGAAAAATAAAACTCCAATGACAAGCTGGTTATGGAGCAAAAAGCATTATTTTAACAAAACTATTACAAGCCTTGATTCTACTTCTCTTTAGCCTTCTCTTATGCAAATATTTGCATTGTACTTACCCATACCATAAGAAGCCTTCTCTGAGGTACTGGAGCACTTTAATCATGTAACTAAAATTAATTATCATTTATGAAAAAACACCAATACCCCAAACAAACAGAAGAACCCAGCCCCTACCTGAACACATGCACACGTGCACACACAGAGTCACGTATTATTACCATAGGGTATTCCAAGGCGCTCCTGCTCCTTTCGGTAGCCTTCCAACGCTGCAGCCCATCGTGTCACTTGTTCAGATGTTTCATCTGAAATCGTTGTAATATGTTTTGTTCCATCCAAGGTTATCACTTGAGCTTCCTCAACAAGGTGAGCTTCAGCCTCTGCATGATGAGCATCCGGATCAATCACTACCTCCACAGTCTCCACAGGCTTCACAATTTCAAGGATGTTTAACTTGGGCTCTATCCCTAGGTACAGAAAGAACAAACACAAAACTTAAAGATAGTAATGCAAGTATAACAAAAATGTTGTTCGAAAGCTTTCCGATCAACAGGTGTTAGCATACTCAGGAAAGAAGCATCACACAAAAGCATCATCAAATCTCTGCAAGTGTCCTAAATTAGAATGACATGTTCTATTGTACAGCATATACTTTAGTAAGCTGAATACAAAGCTGTCCCTCTTTCCTCCCCCAGTATTACAGCTTCCTCTTCTATTTAGGTGATCCATTCCACAGATCTTGAACAGAATGTTCAGCACGTGGGCACAAAGAACAAGTATTTTGGTCTGTAAGAAACATACTGAACCAAATAAAAAAACCAAACAAACCCCAAAAAACCCAGAAC